GCTTCGGGGCCGGGCAGCTTCGGGGCCAGACGGCTTGACTGCCGGGTAGCGGGGTGGGTGCAGGGCTCCTTCCCAGGGGTCTCCCAGCGAGCTGAGGGCCACCTGCCGCGGGGCTGGTGGACGGCGCCCACCTTCCCTGCACACGTGGTGGACCACGGAGGCGCTGCAGGCTGTGCCCACGGGACCTGGCTTCTCTGCCGCACACCAGATGCTTCTGAAGCTCTCAGCCTGTCTCCTCTCAGCATTTCATTTTCCTGTATCTTAACTGTCACTGAAGGGAACCGACCTCAGTGGCCGGGACACCTGTCTTGTCGTGAGGCCACAGCCAGCAGGATCCAGGCCTCCTCTACCCGTGGAGGCGGCTAATATCACATGTGGCTTTGCAGGGTGGACCCTCACCCACGTCTGTGGTGGAGCTGAGCACCTCACCACCTTCCGCTGGACAGAGCTCAGCCAGACCTTCTGGAAGGTGTGGCCTCAGGACCACGTGTGCACTGCAGGGACACAGATCTTGAAGGCTGGAAGGAACCCTGGGCTCAGAGTCCTCATTTTCATCTGAGGAGGGGGCAGCTCCAGGGAGGACAGGAAGATGCATGGGATACTTGTTTTAGTGCCAGTCTAGAGCCGCACTGTCCAGCTCCGGAGCCGCCGGCTATGCATGAGTACTCAGAACATGTGGTCCAAGTTGTGATGCGATGTAGGTATAAAATGCACACTGGGTTTCCGAGATGTAGTATTCAAAAAAGTAAAGTTTCTCTTCAATATTTTACATTGACTATAAGTCGAAATGCTAACGATTTGTATGTATTTCGATAAATACAATACACTGTTAAAATTAAAATCACACTTTTTCACTTATTTTAATGTGGCTCCTAGAAAACTCAAGATCACCTGTGAGGCTTGCAGCCTGCCTCTACTGGGCAGCACCCGTCTAGGGCAACGCCCACGACGGTGGCTTCCCACCTGAGGTCCTCTGCAGGACACCAGAATTTTCACACATGATTGTACTTTGACTTTAATTTTTTTTCTTGAAGAGAATAAAATAATGACACAGAACAGAGAAAGAAAAGCTGAAGGACAAAAGGTTTTTGCTACTGTTTATAATCTGGGTGTTGTCCCAGAACCCTCAGAATTTACAGACATGTGTCAGTGCCCTGGTGAGTGCATGCTGTCTCAGCATTGCTTCTGGGACCTGGAGAAATAAAACCAGCAAGTTCACTGTACTCATAATAGGTCTGTTCTCTGGGAAGACAAAAGTCTCATTTTCCTGTTTGATTTCTGATAAATTTTCACTGTTCTTAACAGATCAAAATTATCCGTGATGTAACTAAGAATTTAAAACGCAAGAAATCAGATTAAATACCTGTGCCATGGAAAACAGAGTTGCGTTTGCAAAGCATAACAACACCCATTAAGTTACTTCAGTAACTGTTGCTACCACCTCAAACCATGGAAACTACTGCTGCTGATGATGAGGCTTTCTTTTACCCCCTCCCCTCCCCTCCCCCTCCCCCACTGCCACAGCGGATGTCTGTAAACCACCCTCCCCCCACCCCCCACTACCAGGCTGCCCATTACTCACAAAGCTATGAGTTTTGCCAGCAGTTCATTAAAAAACACTGCAGACTTTTTCCTCCTAAGACACAGATGATCTGAAAACATGAATTTTCCGAGTGAGGTGCAAGCTACCTGCACGTCAGCTCAAGCGTCCTGGGCACAGTCACACTCACACGCATCCCCCTTACCTTTGTGGTTTTCTGTTTGAATCCTTAGAAGCTCTGCACATCTTGTTTCCTCTTCCTGTATTTCCAGATGAAATCGGCATTCCGGGTGAATGCTGTACACCTGGACAAGGTGAAAAGAAACAGAAACAACTGAAAATTCCACTATAAGAGGAAAGTCAAGCAAACGTTTTACATAAAAGATCCCCAAAACTCACAGTTCTAAACTGCTTCCAACATAACACTCACTTAAAAGCAGTTACCTTCATATTTTGGAATGGTTATTTTAAAAAAGCTTCACTATTTACTTTGTAAAGGAATTATTAAATAAATCTAAAATCTGCTAGAATATGTTTTCTGAGCAGGAAGACAAACTAACATAGTCCACTGTCTGTTGTTGGGACTAATTTGGCGGCATAGAGGTCTTTAATCCAATAATCTCTCAATATTCGAGCCCTCCATTTCATAGTCCTTGATTTAATCAAAGTAAACACATGTTTACTCGCAATCCCATTCTTAATGGCTGCACACAGCCCCAGACGCCAGTGTGCTTCATCCAAGGCCAGCCTCTGTACTCACTGCAAAGCCCTAATAGGATAACTTTATTTTTAGAGGCTGCAGGCTGCATTCAAAACTGAACTTTAAAATTTGGTGTGAGGAGCTTTTCAAAAAGGCCAGGGGTAAGTAGCAAGAGGCCCAGGGGAGAGTCCGCCCTGCGACCTCACACCGGGATCTGTCACAGGAACTAAGGTGTGACACAACATGATTAGTGTTGCCTGTTCCCATGTGTGAAAGGCACAGCCCCATACGGTCTCGGTCTTAGAGATAATATTCTCTCGTCTCTGTTTTCATCACCACCTCCCACCCCAACAAGTGCTGACCCTGCAGGCTGAAGCTGTGCCCCTCACTCTCATGTCCGAACAAAATTTTATTTTCACTAAAGAAAGTCACTCTTGTATACGCTATGGCCGTCTGTGTGTACTTACTCTGCTGCTGAAATAGCTCAATCACAATTCTAACCAGGAATAAAATTTCCTAACACAATGAAGAGAAGGAACTTAATGCTGGATACTTTTGCTACCTTTACCCTCATTTAAAAAAAAATCTGAAGCTTGTTTGTTTGCTTGTTTGTTTGTTTGTTTCCCTAGTTCATTGCTGGACAGCTCCACTGTACAAACTCCTGGTTTCAAGCAGGCTGTATTTTTCACTTTTTAATGGCTTAAATTTTAGAATTAGGGAAATCACATCGACTTAAAAGGAAAATGGATTTTTTTAAGGTATCAAAAGACTCCGTAGTATCTGACATTCTTGGAACATGCACGGTTCTGACATATTTTGGGACAGCCCAGAAATTAAAGCGGCATTAACGATAACAATTCCTGGTACTTTCAACAACCAGCTCTTTCAAAGCATTGAAATTAAGATGGAGGTTCACATTCTCACTACATTCTCAGGGAGGAAGACCTGTGGGCTTTCCTGCTAGACAAGGGAGTTTGGCGATGGTGAGGGTGGGCTAGCTTCATGCTCTCCTAACAGGGTAGCACCCTCAGCAATTACAATCTTCCCTAAATAGCTCCATCCTTGGCCGCACAACCTTAAGAGGGGGTATGAGTCAGTACAGGCAGTGATTTGGCCGTGATGTAAAATGCGTGTAAACACACACAGGCCAACACTGTCTCCAGCCTGAGGCAGGAAAGCAGGGAACAGGCTCACAGCTTTTCAAGGGTCTTCAAATAAAAGGAAGAATTCTTGGGAATTCGATAACCCATACGTGCACTCACGTAACAAACTTCTGTTCAGCACAGCATTTCCTCCCGTGCTCTTAAATGATGATAAAGAATAGCAAAGCAGAGCATTTCCGAAAGGAAACTTTCTTCAGCCACACCGTCTCCCTAACGCACACATCAAGCAAACAAAAAACAGTAACAAGACTAGGACTGCGTACTAGGGGAAGTGTTTAACGACAAAGCAAACTCCAGTTTCCCTCTGAAACGCGAAATCTGCGCAGGTGACGGCAGTCCTGTCCCCGACCCGGGGTTCCAGGGCCCGCGAACTGGCCTCGCGGGTCACAGCCTGCGGGAGGAGGCGTCCCGAAACCTCCGCTTTAAAGAGCGTCGAGCAAGAAACTGGATCCCGTTCCGAACAAAACCAGAGCAGTGCGCAGGGTTGGGGGGCAAACGCATCTTCCCAGCGCCAGGGTCTCGAACCCAGCCGGGCGGGAGCTCGGCTCTTCGCGCTCCGCTGCGGAGGGTCCAGAGCTCCCCGGCGGCCCTGTTCCCTCGCCGGAGCCGGGGAGGAAAGTGGGGACCCTGGACCAGCCCGGCTCCCCCAGAGCAGCCACGCGCCCGGACTCGGGAGCGAAGCGCGGCGCGGCGCGGCGCGGGGAGCGCTCCCTTCCGAGGAGGG